GTGTGCGGTGTTTGGTGGCTGTGGGTGTTGGTGGTGGTACTGGGTGTGTGGTTGGTGGTGACTGTGAGTGTGTGTGGTGGCTGTGGGTGCTGTACTTGGTATCTGTGGGTGTGGGTGCTGGATGTGGGTGTGTGTGGTTGGCCTTGGGTGTGTGTGCTGACTGTGAGTGTGTGTGTTGGTTGTGGGTGTCGTGCTTGGTGGCTATGTTGGGGCTGTGGTTGTGTGTGTGAGTGTTGGGGTTTGTGTTATTATCTCTTCTCTGATTGATATGAAATATTACTGTTTTTCCTTTTCTCTATTTAGTAACGTAATGGTTAAAATCGAAGAAGTTGTTTCATCGGCAATGTGGAATAGGAAACCACAATCATATTTTGCAACCTCTGTCTTAAGGAGATCGAACTTGGAACTAGACCTACCACCTATTTTAACAAAGAAGGGTGACAAAATATTGCGAAGATAGAAAGTTATGGAAGGGACTACAATACGTTAAAATTTAAGAACAAGTGAATTAGTTGAAAAAGAACAGAAAGTTATGGAAGGAACTAAAATGAGGATCCACGGGCTTGGGTTGGGATCCAATCAAACGGACTATTAATGCTTCATAGGATTAGTTGACTGAGAAATTAGAGGTAATAACCAAACCCTCCAAAGACTTGTTTTTCCATTCTTTATTCCTCTAATCTATTTTAAGTAATAAACTTTTCCGTATGTTGCAGACCGTGTTAGCCGCTAAGAAATTCAAATTAAGTGGCGTTAAGTCGGACCTGGAGGAGAAGTTGAACCGTATGTTCAGTGGGGTTGTTGCGACGGGCACACATGCGTTCACCCCAAGTGAGCATGAGTTTGCAAGCATACCGGAGGAAAAGAGAACTTGGAAACCGAGCAGGTAAGTGTGTCAAGTGAAGGCCCCAACCTAAAATAGAGGGAACTGAAGTCCACATGTCAGTCAAAGCGGCCTAGGGTGGAGATAAGAAAAAAAAAGAGTTGCTTTCGTCAAAAACACAATAACAAAGTTGGTAGAAGCATGCACAATTTAGGCTGATACTTCACATAACAACTCCATAGACGACTTTCTTCGAGTTTTGGAAACATATCTGGAAGTTAGGTCAGATAAGTCGTTTTATCTGAACTCCTTGATGTTGCTGGAGAACCCTACCCGCAGACAAATTTTTATGAAGATCCCCCCCCTCGCCGAACTTTGGGTCGACTATTTTCTTTTTTTTATGGGCAATTGATTTTGTGGAGTTATTGTTTATTGACTTTGTTTTTTCCGTTTGTTTCATGGGTTATTTGATTTGGATGTTTTCTTTTCTAGCATGAACAATCAAAATGTTGCTCTGTACTTATTTCTGCTCATTATAATCCGTCTTCAATTTTTAGATGTTCCTTTTAACGTTGTCTGATTTGCACTTATTACCTGAACAATACACTTCTCTAGGATGGATTCACAGTGACTGAGCCTTCCAAAGAAAATTGCGGCAGTTATGACTTTGCTGTACGAATACTGCAATTCCTACGTCAATTGAACTCCCTGCATGACATCGACTTATATTGGTGATAAATGGGTTGGTGAGCTGCTACCAGGACACCTCACAAGGTTCAGTAACATGTTCTGTATGACAAAACCCATATTTTTTGATCTGCTTGATGAACTGCATAGCCATCATTGACTCCACGGCTTCTGAAGAATGATAATAAGAGAGGTGTTAGCAATAACCTTTTATATTTTATCACAAAATGAATCAATGAGAGAAGCAATAAAGCGATTCCAGCATTCATCGAAGACAATTAACAAGTATTTCTCAGTGGGTTTGAAAGCTCTTGTTAGTTTGTCAACAAAGATAATTAAGCCTGAGGATCCAACATTATAGACGACTTCAACAAATCTAGCAAATTACTCGCGATATTTGTTATTCTTTAATATAAATCTTTTTAACACATTATAGTCAGACGTCAAAATGAGTTACGTGACAATCACAACTTTAACTAGTTTGAAAAAATTGTTCTAGAATGATTGATGAAACACGTAAATGCACGAGTATCCAACACTGAAAGAGTTGCGTCACAATCACGACTTCAAATAATCTTGATACTCACTGTTAGGTGAGACATGTATCTTATTTTTTGTACTGTTATGAAGTGATTTTTTGCTTCTCAAGTATTAAATATATTGCCATGACAGTTCTGTTGGAAATAACATTACGACATAAGGGCACAATGATCATTTTCTTAGAAACAACTGCAAAATAGCTATTTTCTAATAGTACAAACCAAACAACCAAACAGCTTATCCGGATCAGCTGCTGATCAGCAGCTTATTTGAATCAACAGCTTATTAATAAGTTGCAGCTGCCCCAAACTGACCCTAATACATTCAATTATCTGACTTTGTATTGTTTTTACTTCAAAACAAACACCTAAAGCGATAAAATGCAGGGAAATGAAATATAAAAATGAAATATAATATCCTGCTTAATATAGTGGAACAAGCCCATTAAAAAGGACCATTATTCTTGTTTACTTTCTGTTATGAAAGTTCTATGAGGATTTGGGTGATTGAAACTCTTTGTGAGACTTATATGTACTAAAATTAGTTATACTAGTTTAAAGATGAGACTCTACTAAATTAGCTTTTCACTTATTATCTAAGCTTGGGATTCTCTAGATGATACCATGCCATTCTACTTTTAATTTCTCTAAAGCATATTTTTCTTCATGTTAGTGTTTATTCCTACTTATCTTTAATGCATCATATTTTTTGAACTTTGAAAGGTAAACAATTGCCTAAAATTTTCCAGCTAAAATGCACTTGTGACATAGAACTTATAATTTCTAGAAGTCTTTTAAGCATTGCATGTTTGATTTTACAGGGAATTCAATTTTGAAGTCATAATTGTTGATGATGGCAGTCCTGATGGTACTCAAGACATTGTAAAACAACTGCAGCAACTATTTGGCAAAGAGCGCATTGTAAGGCCATTATTCACTTCTATTTTAAAAGATTGTATTTTTAAATTGATTTAATCTGGTGATTTAATTATCTGACTGATTATATTGGCGCCGTTCACTTTGTTGAATGATTTGATGATTCTAAGCTATTAAGAGCAAGACCCGAGAAGCTTGGTCTAGGTATGTGCTGGCCATACTTTTTCCAGCTATTTTCAAATAAAAAAGATTTCAGTTCTTGACCTAGAAAGGCATACAGGAACTGCCTATTGTCATGGGTTGAAGCATGCAACTGGAGATTTTGTTATAATCATGGATGCAGATCTGTCCCATCATGTAAGAATGCTGCTCAATGTCTTATGGCTATAATTAAGTTTTTTTGTGTCTTTCTCATCATTGTTCTTTTTTCTACTCTTTTTTGCAGCCAAAATATTTACCTAGTTTCATCAGGTGAGTTTCAATATTATGGCACTTTCTACGTTTAATATGACCCTTGAGACATTTCAATACATATTCCCCTTTTAAATTTTGATAGGTATAAACACCTTTCTTTATGATTTTGCTGGCAAGCTTCCTTTCCTCATATATATATATTTTTTTGAAGAGTTGGTCATAAAAAAATTTGACTGACGCATTTTATTTTTTATTTTTTTGGTATCTACGTGGAACTGAATTTCATTTTACATATCCGCCACTAAATTCTTTAAGACCAAACAGATATACCACTCTTTCATCTCCTACTTCTTCCACAATGCAAATAGGGGTGAGAATGACCTTGTTTTTAGCCGAATCCAATTCTGGTTTGAAATTGGCTTGAACTTATGTAAGTTGACTTAAAATCAATTCATGGATTTAACTGATTTGATTGAGTCAACTTGGCCTGAATAACAACTTAATTCAAGCTGGTTGGAAGCAACCAAATTACAAGTCAATTTAATTTTGAATCAAATTGACTGGAAATCATTTATTTTTCTTCTCGTAAAATTTAATAAAATTTAATAGGCATATATACAAATTTATAGTACCCATTCGCGTGCGCCCACACACGCGCGCGAGCACACACACACATATATATCTTAATTTTATCAAATATTTTGAGCCTATTTGATTCAATCTAGGTTCAACTTGAAATTGGCTTGAAGATTGAGTTGAGCGAAATATTTGTGCTAATCTTTGAGCAACTGTTGATCTGAGTTAAAATTTTAGCTAGAAATGCAGTCTCCCTCATTCCCTCTATTTTCTTCCACTCCCTTCCCTTTTCCTACACTGAATGTTCTTCCTTTTTCGTGCCGCCATCATCTGATCAGAAACAGCTGATCTCTTCACAACTAACTGTTCTTGCTCTCATCCTACATCTACCTTCCACAAATCGTTCATTGGACCACCTCCTATTCCACCACGGCGAAGGTCTAAATTGTCTCTTTATATTGCTAAAGTTTCATTTCCAATGTATTGACATATGGTTTAAATCCACCTTTTTTACCCGTTTGAGTATCACTTGCTGCATCTACCAAGGAACCTGTCAGATTTAATATTTTCTGCATGGAGATTAATGTTCTTAAGATTTTTGTTCCTTTATTGAATGCTTTACAAGGAGGCCGAGGCTAAGGTGGAGCCTTTGAGGAAAATGAAAGGAGTGAAGCAAGAGAATGGTGGTGATGAAGGAGTGGGAGGGCCTGTTTAAGCCAATCAGCTGTTGATGTGGATTTCTGAGGGAGTAAATGGAGCGGGTGGTAATAATGGTTGCAACGCAAGAAGCTGGGGTAGAAACAAGGAGCATGCAATAAAACTAATGAGACATCTCAGCTGCATAATATTAAATCCCCGAAGAATCATGATCATTAAATCGTGGTAATAATAGTTACAAGAAAAGAAGCTGGGGCAGAAACATGGAGCATGAATAAGACTAATAATACATCTCAGCTGCATAATATTAAATCCCCGAAGAATCATAATCATTAAATCGTGGTAATAATAGTTACAAGAAAAGAAGCTGGGGCAGAAACATGGAGCATGAATAAGACTAATAATACATCTCAGCTGCATAATATTAAATCCCTGAAGAATCATAATCATTAAATCCCAACAACCATATTCTCTTATGATTTTTCTCTATTTTCCATTAGCTTTTTTACGCTATGCTGGTGTAATATGGTAAGAATTGCTGAAGACGATTCTTCCTGCTCTTTCAACTCTTTTTTTTCTTTTATTCATATGCTTCACTGCAATTTTTTTTGTTTTACTGTTTTTCTCGAGTTTAAATTACTGCATTGATTCATTATCGTATGAGAGATTCTAAAAACATTTTTATCTCTTCTCATCTTCACTATACCTTCCAATGGAGAAATATTCCTCTAGTTCACTAAATGAATATCTAGAATCCATCATAACGAACACAACCACCATTCCATCCTTTAAAGTTCTTCTTGTCACATTTGAACATATAGTCACCACCTAACTATCCAATGATCATCATCTTATTTTGAGGTCTCAATTCCTCAAAATCTTCAATGCTAATGTATTTGATGGCTTCCTTCATGGTTTCACAACTCATCTCACAAAAAACCTCACAAATGGTGAAGGATTTCTCATCCCAAACCCTCACTATATAACATGGCTTCCTACGATTAGAACCTTACAACAGCTCTTTACTCCACCATCACTATACTTATGTTTCCCTATGTAATTCATCTTGATATCCCCTCTGTTATCTGGATAATTATCAAAAATTAACTTTGAGCTAGTAATAATTCTAGAGCCAGTCAATTGAAAAATAAACTCCACGATATATTTATGAAAGATAATAACATGAATCAAAATTTTGTTGAAATCAAAATTTTTGTTGACAACTTTGAGGCCTCAATTGATCAAGGAGATATCATTCTTTATATCCTTAGTGGCCACCTTATTCTTTCAAATTTTCAAATTGCAATACAAAGTAGGCTCACTTCTATTAGCCTGGATGCATCTACTATCTCTTATGCATTAATGATATCAATATTGCTAATGAACCAGCTGAAAACGCTTAATTATTATATTCACAAATTGCCTTCACCTTTCAGTATACCAGAACCACCTCTTCTTCATTTTGAGGTAGAGGTCGTGACACACTTGCTTTCTACTAATGAGGTGGAATTGTGTTCACCCGAACGAGAGAGATTAAAATCCAGCCACATTAAATGCCAAATTTGTGGGAAGAATGATCATTCAACCATCTCAGGTTGCATCGTTCTAATCTTAGTTATTGTCAACTGAAACCAACTTCAACCACTCAAGCTCTACTAGCATCATCCAAGGTTGAATCCCTGTGATTAGCTCTGGGCTCAAGATTGGCTTCACATTTAACCTCCAACATCGACCAATTCCTATCTTTAATCCCATACAATGGTCTTGGTGAAGTTCAAATACTGGGTTGAGAAATTTTATTGACTCCAAATTGTAGGCTTTTTCCAAATCAATTTTATGTCCCTGATTAATCACATCCTTTTTTGCTCATAGGTACTACATTCAGGACTCGATCACCCACCAAATTATTTTACAGGGCTGCAACCTGAGTGACTTGTACCGTTTTTCCAACACGAGCCATCAACCACAAACTTCCATGACTTCCATTGCAGTCTTTTAACAGGGTCGCCTGTTCATCCCAACAATCACATCCTTTGCCATCTCACGTCAAAAATTTCTCATTTATCCACTTTAATTGCAATTGTTATAGCTTTTTACTCAGTCAAAATTAATCATCTCTTATTTTTTGTTTCTATTTCTCACTCACTTCTCACTCATATTAATAGCTAGAATTAATACATTTGGATGTATGAGGTCTTTCTGGTAAGTTTTTTTGAGGCTGCAAGTACTATTTATCGGTTATCGATGACCTAGCTCATTTTTGTTTGATATTTTTAATTTTTTCCAAATTGAAATTCTCACAAAAATTCATTCATTTTAATACCATGACTGAGAAGCAATTTAATAATCCCATTAAAATACTTTGATCAGATGGAGGGGGAAATAAAATAACCACTCTTTAAACCTTTTTCTTTTAACCATGCATCATACATCAACTATCTATATAACCTATAATAAAATGGTGTGGTTGAACACAAACATCACTACCTAATTGGAACCACTTACTCCATTTATTGCAGTCTCATCTGCCATATTATTTATGCTTCAACACCTTTTTTATGGATGCCTATTTAATGAATTTTACACAATCTAAAACAACCAAAATGAAATCTCTCCATCACTTAATCTATCAAAAACCTTTTAACTTTTCACATCTTACAACGTTTGTCTCCGCTTTCCTTGGTTTAAATCACAATCACCAAAAGTTGCTCCACACTCTCCCCACTACATCTTTAGTGGTATTCTTCTTTTCACTGGAGATACCAGTGTTATTATCCTATTGATCCCATTGTAGGCTTCGAAAATTAATGACTGCTCATTAGGAGACTCTGCATTTATTTTCAATTTTATTTTGAGAGAAAGAGAGCTTGGGATGGTCGAAGGCAGATTGAATAGTAGATAGGACACTACCCAAAGATTTCACCCTTATTTTGTGATGACTTTTTGATATGGGGCTTGAGGTTTCTCATAGGCGCAAACCCCTATGGTTAATTACCTTTCCTGATAACGGGAGAGCACTTTCGATTAAGGATAGTCATTAAGAATTGATATTCAATATAAAATAACATAAGACACATGATTTAAGTCGTAGAATTCACCACTTGAACCTTAATGCAGATGGTGGGGGAATGAATTTGAAGCTCTATCAAGATCTCATGGTTTTGTCATTCCGAGTCGTCGTGATCCATAATTTACTTAGTCAAAGAAGGTAGTTGACCGAACATGACAGAAGGATTCATGTCAGAAGCCATTGATTGCGTCGTCAAAGAGATCATTGTTGATCTGAGATGGATGTTTGCCTAAGGGGACTTAGGATGGTCAAATTTTTGGAAGGCAGATTGAATAATGAGAAGACACTACCCAATGATTTCACCCTCATTTTGTGAAGACTTTTTGATCTGGGGTTCGAGGTTTCCCATAAGCGCAAGCCCTCATGGTTAATTATCTCTCCTAATAACGGGAGAACACTTTCGATTAAAGTTAGTCATTAAGAATTGAATATACAATCTAAAATAGTAGCAGCACAAGATTTAAGTTGTATAATTCACCACTTGAAGCTTAAAGTGGTTGGTGGGGGAATGAATTCGAAACTCGATAAATATCACGTGGTACTGTCATCTCGGGTCATCTTGGTCCCTGATCTGCTTAGTCAAGGGAGGTAGTCGACCAACCTAACATAAGGATTATTGTCAGCATTCACGGGTTGCATCGTTTAAGAGATTCTTGTAGATCTGAGGTGAATGTTTGTCTAATGAGACATTTAAGACATTTAAGTCGACCTTATGTCAATCAATTGTACCTTTATAATTCACAACTCAAAGACT